CACAAAAAATGCATTGAGGAAGGTGTGTGTGTGAATGATTTGTAAATTTAAATAATCTTTCCCTTTTTGAACAAAAAAGTTATTAAAAGAGAGTCTACTGTTAACTTTCTAGGAGTGATTATAGATGAAAATATATCATGGAAATATCATATTAAATCTATTGAAAATAAAATCTTCAAAAATATTTCAACGCTATATAAAGTTAAACCTTTTCTTAATATGGAGTCTTTGAAAATTATATATTTTTTATTTAGGGAGAATTGGGGCACAGCGGTTCGGATTTCTTTCTTTTTTAATTTGAGTGAAAGTTAAAATATATATTTTATCTTTGTCAAGGCTAAAGGATTGAGAAATATGCCATTCATGATAAGAAATCACTAAAACCTTAATATCTATTATCTAACAGCTCACAGAAAGGTTTAAAGTGAGTTGTGTTAAGTGATTCACTGTACCCCAGTACTGGGGTACAGTGAAACAATTAACTCATCTGCAATTTAGTGGTAGTTAATGGAGGCATAGCCAAATAATTTTGAGGATGAGGGTGTAAATACATTGTACACTATACTTTTGGCGCACTTTTGGTAATTAAAATTAAATAATTTAAATTTTTTCTGATTGAAAAAATAAAGAATAAATTTTATTGATAACAAAACTTATTCAACCATCTAAAATCACAAAAAAAATTTTACCTTATAAAACTTATTTAACCAACAACAAAAGAAATTTTTAAAAGTGAATTTTTAATTTTTATAAACATTTTAATTTTTATAAACATTTTTATCATAGTGAATCAATCGATTTACGGTACCCCGATTCATTGGGCCCCACCATAAAAAAAAAAGGTTCAAGTTTAATTTCTTGGGACATGAGTGTTATTAAAGGAATAGCAAAACTACTAAAATAAAGCATAAATATAAGTATTCAGAATATAAAACTTTAACTTATAAAATGATTTTAATCATGAAAAAAAAAGATAATAATTGGAAAAAAAAAAGATAATAATTGGAAAAAAGAAACTAGTTAAGGTTTTTAAATGTTATGAATCATGGTGCCTCATTAATTATATTCTCTGCACTTAAAAACAGATTTATTACATACTAAACATGCTGGTGCCAAAATAAATTTACCAAAATAGTATTTTTTTGCGAAACATATATATATATATATATATATATATACATATACATATATATATATATATATATATATATATATATATATATATATATATATATATATATATATATATATATATATATACATATATATATATTATAAAAGGTTTACCTGCCGATACCCATGGTAAATTAATTAGACGTCCATTTATTCAGTATTATTATGCAAATAAAATTTAAGGTATTAAAATTGCATTTATAGTTAAGCTTTTAAAATTTATAACGTTAATTCAAAATCATTTTTTTTGGAATAAATTTAACTTTCTAAAAAAAAAATTTTTTTCCAAAATAAATTAAACTTTTCGATAATTTTATTTTTGAAATTAATTTAGCTTATCAAATATCTTTTGGCTTTTTTACAAAATTAATTGCACACTTCAAAATTTTTTTTTTTCTTTCGAAATTAATTTGACTTTTCAAATTACACTTTTTTTTTTTGAAGTTAATTTGACCTTTGAAAATTCTTTTTTTTCTTTCGAAATTAATTTGACTTTTCAAAATACACTTTTTTTTTCAAAGTTAATTTGACTTTTCGAAACTCTTTTTTTTCTTTTGAAATTAATTCCCCTTTTCGAAATCCAGCTTTTTATTTCGAAATTAATTTCACATTTCAAAATTATTTTTTTCCTTTCGAAATTTATTTCCTATTTCAAAATCCACCTTTTTATTTTGAAATAAATTTCACATTTCTAAATTACTTTTTTTTTCAAAATTAATATGGCTAGTTTGATTATTTTTGAAAGTTTTTTTAGGTTTCGAAAAAAAGAAGTATTTTGAAATTGCAATTTTCGAACATTTTCGATTAAAACATTATTTTAATCGAAAATTTTCGAAAATTGCAATTTCGATAATGAACCCTAGCTTTAACTTATGTTACACAAATTTAAAATAAAATTGTGCTTAACTAAGCATCATTATTCAAAACTTTAAATGCAAAAATGTTACATTTAATATTCTTTCGCATGTGTTATTAAAAAACTTAAGTTTTTTAACTAAACTTTATAACAAACAAAACTTTATCATGTTTTTGTTAATTTACATTACATGAAAATTGCAAAAGTTCATTCGTTATTTTCTTAGAATATATATATTTTATAAAGTATAAAATCTGACCAACAACAATTTGAACATGTTAGTTCCATTTTCACGCTAATTTAATTCTGATTATGCAAATAAATTCATGGTTACAATAACATTTTACAATGATTATTTTTTATCTTTTTTATCACGTGACAATGAGAAAAACCGTAACTTTCGGAAGCATAAAAATGACTTAAATAAATTAATTTTAATAAAAAGGTATATTTTAAAGGTATATTTTAATGTGCTAAAGGTATATTTTAAATAAACTTGCTTTAAATAAACGTGCTAAAGGTATATTTTAAATAAACTTTTATGTATCTACAGCAATATTCACTCGCTAAAAGTTGAAGAAAAGTAGAATAAAATTTGACTACTTTTTCATTTTGCGCCATGGAATTGCCCATATATATACATGTTAAAACCAAACATTATCTATAATAGAGAATAACAGTTTTAATAAGTACTTAATTTGCATGCTCAATTGAATGGAAATTATTTCGAAATTTCCTTTAGGTAAATTTTTTTTGTTTAAAATCGATTGAATTGAAACATCACTAATAACTTCTAATAAATAACTTAATAATAATAATAAATGAAGCCATTAGATTTCTCATGAACAACATAAAATAATTACGGAAATACAAATTTAAATAATTTATATTGCAATACAACTGTAAATAACCACTAAAGAAACTTTTAGATTGGCCCTCAAAATAAGATACTTTCTAATAATACCCAATTTTCTTGGTTTCTTATTAAAAAAAGTGTAACTACTTTTAAAAATATACATAGTTATTTTTTTTACATTTTGTGTCAGAGATTAATTTGTGACAGAATAAGGTAAAACCATTATTAAGTAAGACATTCGAAAGATTCTCTTGAAGAAAGGAAAAAAGACTATTCCGATTCATATTGGCTGTATCAGACATGCAATCCATCTTTATGTTTGAAATATACTTTATAAATCTCATAAAATAAAAGGAAAAAACTTAATTTTTAGATTGTAAAACGCAATAGAATAGCCTTATTAAAATGATGCAAAGATTTTATGAAGTTTGCAAAGAAGTTAAAGTAGTTCAAGGAAAATGCTGATTTCTTGCTTGCTGAAAAAAGTTACTGAGTTTGCTGCTAAGAAGCTGAAAGATCTAGGGACATCAATAAGCCTGCTCTCTTGGAAAAATTTGAAGTCCGAAAAAAAAAGAAAGAAATTCCGATCTTGTACACTTAATGCAATATTTAAAATCTCCGAACATTTTGCAAGAGCAAAAGAATCATTTTGGTCTAAAAATAAAAAAGCATAAAAAAATAACTCAGGCTGCATCATCTTTGAACAGACTTTATCCACAGAAAGAGCTACCATTTTGAAATTACTTGAATAGCTGATCAAACATTAGAAAATTGTTGAAAAAAAACTTTTTGAGATAAAGTTACTTTATTTATCCAGCAAACAGAGCATGAAGCTATCACAATAGATGAGATTGGATCTAAGATTTTGAAAAATGAGATGAGTTTATTTGAAGCTACCTGTGCAAGACCTAAAAATCTTGAAAAATAAATTAAAGCTTTGTTAACAATAAAACCAACATCAAGCTTTTTGGAACAAGCTTTTTCTTCCATGGGATTTTTCGACACAAAAAATAGATTAGGAGATGATACCCATGATGCTTTGATTTTAATGCGTGAGTTCTACAAAAAAATTTTTAGAAAAAAGTAGTTTAAAGATAAAATTTATAAAACTTTTTCATTTTGTTCTTTCAAAAACTTGCTTTTTTTTAAATCAAAACTGACTAAATTTACACCTCTTAGGTTATTTAATGGTTGCTGTAACATCTAATTGATAAATTTATTGTATTACCCGGGTAAATTTAAAATTACCCATTACTCTGGTAAATATTATTGGCCCAATAATAGAAACACTGATTCATTTATTTCTTGATATTTATCTTTGATTATCAACATATGAAGCATACAAGTTTTTATTTGAATGTTTTGTAAAGTATGCTTTCCCAATTTATTTTCCAATTTTCTTACCCAAGTAGTTTTCAAAACTTTTGATGGCTGGTGCTGATTCAATGAAAGAATTTTAAAACCATTCCAGGTTGTCTATTAAAATTTCAAAACCAACTGAAGTCTTGCACAAGCACCTAGCTTTATTTGTGCTGATATAGGTAATATTTTTCAAAAATTGTCACTGTTTAAAATTTTCTTGCATCTGATATTTATAATGTTGATGAGACTGAAATCCAAACTGTGCAAAGACCAAACAAGATAATTGCTGGTAAAAGTATTAAGCAAGTATATAAAAGTATTAAGGAACATTAACTAACAAAAATGAGGGACATAAGAAACAGTAGTATTAGCTGTAAATGGATATGGCAATAATGTGTTTCCATGTTTATTTAAGAAAAAAAAAAGTTTTTTGATTGTATTGAAATGATTGTATTTATGCTTCCAAAGACAACACTTTGTTTGTACTGAAACATTTATAGATTATTGTCAGTAAAAACAAGTAGATCTGGTGGATTTTACAGGAGAATAAAAGAAAGATGAAAAAAACTAGCTTTTTTAAAAACCAAACCATTTAGAGGCAAAAATTGTTTTTTGTGTTTAACATTTTTTCTACTATAGTGATTGTTAATTTAAAATTTTATATGCCATAGAAAACAAAAGAAAAACACAAACTTAAGTTAAAAAACTTTGTTAAACTTTAAGTTAAAAAACTATTAAGTTAAAAAATGTTACCTTGTTTGTAAATAGTTATTGAGTTTTGGTTGCTCTATGTTTGCAGAGGAAACTGAATGTTTATAATTCATGTTCATTATGGATCCCAATGTTTTCTTAAGGAAAGCTAGATTAAATGAGAAAAAATGAACTACCAATAAAATAATACAATATATTAACTTCTAAATATAATAATATGCTGTAATATATTTATAATAAAATACTGGCAATATCTTAACTTTTAAAAAGTTTGGGATGATATCTATAACAGCTACAAAACAAATTCTATTTCTAATTCTAAGTTTTAGGAAAAATAATTCACGACTTAATAAATAATTGACATAAATAATTTTATTAAATATTAAATAGATAATAAAAATTAAATAGACATAAATAATTTAAAAAGATGACTTTAAGTACTCACCATTATCAGAAGTGATCACAACAGAACTTTTTATAAAAATGAAAACTGAATATAAAAACTTTGATTTTTCATATATTTAAAATTTACATATCTCAAGCAAGAAAAATTAAATACCTGTCTAAAGATAACTGCTCAGTTTTCTTATTAACTAAAAAAAAAAAAAATAAACTGAAAATAATATAACACATTATAAGATAAATAATATAATATAATATAATATATATATATATATATATATATATATATATATATATATATATATATATATATATATATATATATATATATATATATATATATATATGTATATATATATATATATATATGTATATATATATATATATATATATATATATATATATATATATATATATATATATATATATATATATATATGTACTTAAATTATATATAATTTATATAATTTCTCATTGTTGTGATGATAAACTTAAACACTTTCTGCACCATTATTTCACATCAATCAATAAACTTTATTAAAGTTTTTGTGCAGAATAAAACAACTTTTTCAGTATAATAGCTTTTTTTTTTTCCTACACATAACTGTTTTGTTAACAAGCAAATTATTAATATTAGGTAATTCTAATGATTTTCTTGCACATTCAAATTCAATACTCCTGCTTTTGTGCTGTATTTGGTGTACAACCTGCTTTCAAACATTATGCACTTGAATAAAATTTTCCAAATTTTCAAACTGTTTTTTTTAGAACACAAAAAAAAAAGATGGATTCAAGAAATTATAATAAGTATAAGTTATTTTATTTTGCAAAAAAAAAAAAAAGATACAAAGATGGTAATTTTTCTTAAGGCTCTGGTAAAACTATTTTTAAAAAACCCTTGTCCTCTCTTCCTTTAAAATTGCAAACAAACACTGCCGCTTCTGTAATCTGTTTAATTGCTCTTTCACAAGATACAAAGTATTTTTTAAAACCCTATATAGATATTGCCATGTAAATAAAAAAACTTTCAGTGTTGATTGGAACATTTTTTTCTTGATTTAAAAATTTTGTCTTTAAAACTGATTGCTTTTCTTCTTAATTTTATCTTTAATGCATATTGTTTTTATTCTTCACCAGAGTATGACATAAGATCAGAGAGATTAAGAATATATAACATGAGAGAGATTTATGAGTAAGTTATAAGTGTCATACAGAAATGTATACAAAGTTAAAAAATATTTGTACTTTTTGGTTTCAAAGTTTGGTCATATGAAGAAAAGGTCAGAAGAAGTTTGGTCATATGAAGAAAAGGTCAGAAGAAAAAAAAACTTTTAAATAGTAACTAAACCAAGTTTTCATTTTTAAGTTTCACTTAGCAAGAAAAAATAGGTCACTCCAAGAAAAAAAAGTCACCCAGCAAGAACATGGAACATATCAAAAGTATCTCTATAAAATTCTGACTTAAAAGTCTCAAAAGTGCCAGAAAAATTTTGAAATTCAATTTTTTTTTGTTTGAGTCATCAAGAGAACCTAAGATACAACTACAAAATGCAATGCTATCTTGGTTACCTTCTTGCTATCTTGGTTACCTTCTTCATTACTGCAAGATACAATGCTATCTTGGTTACCTTCTTCATTACTGCAAGATACAATGCTATCTTGGTTACCTCCTTCATTACTTCAAGATACAATGCTATCTTGTTTACCTTCTTCGTTACTGCAAGATACAATGCTATCTTCACCTACTCATAGATGAAGATAGCATTGTATCTTGCAGTAATTGGTTTATGAATTAAAAACCTTTTAGCCTATCAGACTCACACTTTAGGAGACGCATTAGAAACATTTGTATCATTTTTAATCTGCTTCTATATATTTTAAATATATAGAAGCACTTTAAAAATATTTTGTACAAAGGTCATGATAAGATCTTTGTTTATCTGTCAACTCTACATTTTTCAGCAAACTTCTTTATGACTTACATTTTTGATATGTCAAAATATTTTTTTAAATTAAAATGTGGAGCTAAATTTTTTAATGACAAATTTACATAATTAGAATTTAATTGAGTTAAATTAGAGGAGAATTAGAAAAACCACAAATTTAAAAACACAAAAAGTTGCATGTTAAGGCATTTTTTATAGTGGTTTTCTAATACCTTTTTTTTTACTTAAATTAAGTAAAATTTCTTTGTTCTTTTTGACTTCGAAGTTAAAGCGATCCCAAAAAAAACGAGACATGTTGTGTTCATATTAAAGAGAATGATAAAAGAAAAATGTTTGGGCTAATTTTTTTTTATTAAAACAAAAGAATAAATGCATAAAAACTAACTTTTTTATTTTAGTCAAAGCTTGCCTTCTCTGTTTTGTTGTAGGCCAATAGGTCAGTATAATATACGCCGCAATTTACAGACTTAATAATTTTTTCAAGCGCGTTTTATTCCTATGACGTCATTAATTTTTTAGTTTGTGTAAAAGATTGATTATTTGAACAAACAAAAGTCAATAAAGTCATGTACTAAAACTCTTAGAAATAAAATGTGCTTGAATAAATTATCAAGTCTACAGATTGTGGTGTATATTATACCGACCTTTTGGCCTACAACAAAACGAAGAAGGCAATCAGTGACTAAAATAAAAAAGTTAGTTTTTCTTGGTATACATTTATTCTTTTGTTTTAATCAAAAAAATTTAAACTAAACATTTTTTTTTATGATTGATATATTATATGTGGGTGTTATGTAAATATATATTATTTGTCATATATACTTTATTTATCACATATATTTATCTTAAAGCGATATAGCTATATTATGAACTATATTTGTATATAATACTAATATACTTTTAATTATATCTAAAACTATATACTCTATTTATCAAATTCTATATTACTTTAAGACCTTATAAATTGTTTATAAATCCTATCTCATATGATTATATATATATATATATATATATATATATATATATATATATATATATATATATATATATATATATATATATATATATATATAGTATATACTATATATATATATATATATATATAATATATATATATATATATATATATATATATATATATATATATATATATATATATATATATATATATATATATGTATGTATGTATGTATATACTATTATTAACTGTTCTTAAAATTTTCTATTATTTCCTATTAAATTCCCCTCCTTCTGTTATTGCAATTACGGAAACAAGATTGAAAGAAAATATTCCACCCATAAACAATATAGACATTGAAGACTATTTAATTGAACATACTACAACAAAATCCAATTGTGGTGGAGCTCTTTTATACATAAAATCTTCAACAGTATACAAACTATAAAAGATCTTAATATGTACAAACCACAGGAACTTGAATCAGTCTTCATTGAAATTATTGACCAAAAGGGCAAAAAAACAATTATTGGTTCAATATATTGTCATCCATGTATGTCCATTAATGATTTTATCCATAACTATCTTCCTTTTTTACTAGAAAATCTTACTAAAGAAAACAAAAATGTCATAATTATGGGTGATTTCAACATTAATTAATTATGATAGTTCGCCTGATGTGTCATTTTTTCTAAACATTATGTGTTCAAATTCTTTATTTCCATTTATCACCTTGCCAACAAGAGTAAGTTCACATTCAAAAACTCTTATTGATAACATATTTATTAACTTTTACTCCAACAACATTAGGTAACATAACTATTTCTATATCAGACCGTTTGGCTCAGTCCAGATCCCTAACACAAACTCACAAAATAAAACAGAAAAATATATAGAAGATCCTACAAAAATTTTGACAGTAAAAACTTTCTTAATGATCTTAAAAACACAAACTGATAATAATCAATACAAAATAATCAAAGATAATGATGATCCCAACCAATTAACTGTTATACTTTTAGATTATGTTCAGAAAATTCTAGATAAACATGCCCCACTTAAACCTCTAACTAAAAAACAAAATCAGCAATTTATTAAAAGCCATTAAAAAAAGCTATTATATAACATTTTTTAGATCAAACTTAAAAAACACATGGAAAGAAATTAAGGAACTAATAAACATTAACAACTCTGTGCCTAAAAGTCATTCAATACAACTTTAGCTAATAATTAGTAATGATAAACTCGTTGCCAACTCTTTCAATAACTACTTTACAAACATAGCCAATAATCTTGTTAAAAATATGAAACCTTCCAAAATTAAATTTGATGTATTTAAACAACCCAAATCATAACTTTTTTTTTTCTTTCACCAGTAACAACAGAGGAGATTGAAACTTATATACAAAGAAAAGTATAGGCCCAAATAGTATCCCTACTTCAATTTTAAAGTTATCCAATCATAGCTGAACCTATTTGTAAAATAATAAATAACTCATTTATAAAAGAAGCATTCCCAGACTTTTTCAAAATTGAAAAGGTTATTCCAATTCACAAGAATTGCTCCAAACTTGAACTTGTTAACTACATTCCTATTTTGTTATTGTCTAATTTAGGAAAAATATTTGAGAAAATGATGCATGTAAGACTATACAAGTATTTGGAGACTTTTAATTGCATTTATATATTACAATTTGGATTTAGACATAAACATTTAACTACCTATGCACTTATTGACTTTACAGAGATTATCCAAAATAAATTTGCTTGTGGTGTGTTTATTGACTTGAGAAAGCATTCGACACAGTAAACCATCGAATCCTTTTCACCAAATTTGCATATTATGTAGTTCATGGAGTTCCTCTTAACTGGTTTGAATATTATTTAAACCATAGACTGTAACTATAAATGAAATTACCTCATCAACCCAATCTATCAATTCAGGAATCCCTCAAGGATCTATCCTTGGGCCTCTTATATTCTTGGTTTACATCAATGAATTAAACACATGTCTCAATAATATATATACTTACCATTTTGCTGATGACACTAATTTGCTTATAATTGAAAAGTTCAAAATAAAACCAATGAGGCCATATCATCAGTTCTCGACTGGCTGGGAGCTAATAAAATCTCACTTAATACTAAAAAACTCCAAATAGTAGTCTTTAAAACCAAAAGCCAAAAAACTAATAAGCAATTAAATTTTTGTATTAATGGAGAGATTAACTTCTTCAAAATCAGTAAGGTATCTTGGAATAATGCTGGATGAAAATCTTTATTTTAA